AGCAGCATTACAAACATAATTTAACTATGCCTTTAATTACACTGTCAGTATCTTTACTCATTTATCTGAACACGAAAAACATCAATTTTATCTGAGACACGAAGTAAAGTTAAGGTTAATCTACATTGTTGGCAATTTCAGTAGTTTCCAAAGTTAGAAATTAAATTTGTTTTGCTTGGTATTATAATGTCATGTAATAAAGTGCTTGTATTTAGTCTAAAGTGTCTACACCATTACTTAATAATGCCTGACCTATTTTCTTACCCTTCCCAACATACAGACATGCCGACCTGTTTCAAGAGCCCAAAGGAACAAAACCGGTTCTTTCCCTCAGTCCCCAAGGGAATAGACAACAGGAAACTGCAATTCCTCACACCTACTGTATCTACGGATAGGAGCCAAAACTCCCCACTCAATTGCTGTACATCCTCACTGACAAGATTCATCCAGCCTTGATCACAAACACAGAGAGGTTTTTTTCCTTCAGCAACTGTACCCTCAAGGTCATCTGCCAGGGTGAAACTAGAACCCCTTGAATTCAAAGTGGGTTAAACTAATCTCATCAGTAAATGACAATAACATCTGGGGAATCAATTAAAGTAATTAAAGACTACAGACACTATATACAGCTGAGACCAGTCTCTCACAAAGGAAGTGCACACCTTCTGCTAATGGTTTCTTAATACTCTTTCACAACAGGCATCTCTCCCATATTTTCTGTCATTCAGCCTTTTCATTTTATGAGCAATCCCAAAGGTCTTTTAATTTTTGAAATGCTATTTTTAGTTTAAGATAACCGATGCGTAAACTTCCATCTGTCCTACACACATTCCAGCTGCTCCTTTTTTAGCGAAAATGAAACAAAGATCTCAGAAAATATATGTTATTTTCCAGTGCTGTATACATTTTAATAATTCTAAATGTGAGTGTTTCGTTTCGTCAAATAAACAGGGTTAGGATACTGCTTGATAGCTACACCTCCTGGACTATCACAGATTAGTTTATGGTTTGTATATATTGTATAATATATAACTGTATATATTGTATAATATTGTATATATATTGTGTAATGCATTTATCTACATGAAGGTATAACCACAAAGGCTAATGCCTCACACTTAATGAAAGCTCATGAGGGATTTCACCCAAGTTTGCTTGTCTTACAGTTCGCACATTTCTGAAGGTGAAGTGCCCAGCTGAGACGCGTCTGGTCCAGAGACACAGCTGCTGCACATGTGGCTGTAGAGCAGCAGAAGAGGACCTCAACCAAGGTGACAAACAGATCACATACAGTCAGTCTAGACCTCACCTTTGACCTTACTCACCTTAAGAACTTCAATTCCAGAAGGACCTTGCATTCTAAAACCACTGCTTACATCCACTCTTCTGTACCACTGTTACAATGTCTTCTTTCTAACATTATATATGATATTTCTCAGAAACTGTTTTACAGTAAAACAGTTCAAAATCACCAATAATGCTTTCAGCTTTTTTTAAATTAGTTTATGGGTTTTTTTCAACAGATGCACCTCAAAATATTTAAAATACCTTTGTTGGGGTTGTGACAGTCACATTATGCTTCAATAAATATAATATTTGGTGAGGCTCTACTCAATTTCCTGAACTTAATGGAGCTCTATTAGAATTTTACTATACAGTAATGCACTGTGTGCAGTTCTACCCATATTAATTGAGGTGTATAAAATACCTAATATTAGGTGATTTATTGAACCTAACTCTTTCACTTACCTACTTACATTCAAACTGATTACTGAACTGTAAGAACAGTGCAAAATGTACAATTTTACTCCAGCTGCTAAAAAACAATGTGATCTTTTTCTCAACATAACAATAAAAACAATCTGTATTGAAAAACACAGTCAATTAATTAGCCATCTCTGGTTCCTTGGTACTTTCTAAAGCATGATTGTATCTTTAATGGGACCGAGAAGTGGTTTTTAAAAGATTCATTTTAAAATACACACATCCCTCAATTACCACACACCTGGTTTACAGATTTTTACTATACGTACGCTGGCATTTTCATAGCTGTTTTTTGCAGTTTTGAAGAGATTTTCAAGACAGTGAAGGAAAATAGCCAAACAGAAGACTCACCTCCCAGTTCCTCAGTTTGCATTTTTTTAGACATTTTACACATTTTAGTGATCTTGCCTAATTATCTTAAGTACTGTATGAGGATAAATACAGTCATTAACTGACATATACAAGCAAAGGTGCTCCTACTTTGATGATTCTGTGCTCTGAAATAATACTGAGTTATTTTCCATACCTCGGCAACAAATGTAAAGGTTCCGCATGTGAAGTAACAGGAACATTGTTTTTGTTACTAACAGTTTTCAAGGAACAAATTGCACATGTACAGTAAATCAAGGGCACAGGTGTACTGAAACCACGCAACACAACACAAAACACACCAATTTCCTCTCTACTTTAGTCTTAATCACGCACATTTTCCACAAGGTATATTTAATGACTAGCTGAAAAGTTCTGTGCCACCATTTCAGATCAAATTAATTTGCTGAATTGATCTCTGCGAAAACCCTGCTCCCAAACCCTCAAGCGCTGGTATCTGATCATCCGAGAACCAAGCAGAGTACAGGACTAGTTCAGCGTTTCACTGCAGGTTGTGTAGTGAATCTTACATTCATTCTTGCAATGTAATGTTGGGATTTATTGCCCCTGAACTTGAGTTTTTAAGCTTCAATTATACTTGCCACTGCTTACATCTCTTTAAAAGCAACTTAAGACAATTTAGGAAACTGGCTTATTTAACATCGTGACTCTTTTCCATAGTCAAAGATGAATGAGCCATCTCTGGGTTTCTGGCAATTTAATTTCTTAGTCACTAAATTTTGCTCTCCAGAATGGGATACACGCTTCACCAAAAAACTTCAAGAGCAAGTGAAAGGCAGCTTGTGGGAATTACACTCAGTATCCATGCAGCACAGTAACCCAAGGACAGCGCTGGTGTTTTCTCATGAACAGAGTAAATGAACTGCTTCACACGCTTTCTCTGAACATCATTTATAATTAGCTGTGTGATTTACAGAGAACTGGCAAACCTGGCACAGCATGAAAAGTGCTCAGCTCCTCTTTCACCTGCCTCTTCCCCAGAATAGTTCACAGCACAGATGACAGGAAATAAATTTGGATAATAATGATATACACCATTAAGAACTATTATACTGGTTCATGACAAATACTAGTATGAAGCATTACACCACAACATGGATGTGAACTCCATCTTCTTAGGTGCTGACCTGGAGGCAACTCCATTCTTGTCATTAAACAGTTATCTTCCAGACACTAATGCCTCACATCATGGGATAGCATCACTTTCATCACAAATGTCTGCCCTTAAAGAGACTCTTCTTTATGACAATTATCATGATGGCCATCAGGCCTTGCCTACTGATCCTAATAATAATAATTCTATATTCTATGAGAATAAAAATAGAGACCCCAGGAAATTAGCTCGACTACAAAATACAAAAATTGTCAAACTTAGTCTCCTAAAAGGCTGTGTACACAGCAGCTTTCTCTGTGTGGCCCTCTGCTTTGATGACTAATTTCTTTTATTAATTCATTAGCTAAATTACATTATTCATAGTGTGTATGGGGGGAAAATAACCTAGCATGTAACTGCCTCTCTCACAGCCTTGCAATGGTGACTTTCTGTATACAGTATCACTTATTTTAAAAATATTTAAATCTCAATATTTAAATCCCATGAAAGTTGATTAAACCCCCTTGTTGTTCTCCCTTGTTGTTCTAACTCTCTCTGTAAAAAACAGGCTTTGTTTTCTCAGAGATTTAACCCTACCAGTTACCAGGACACACTATATGTTTAACAAGAAAGGATACTGCTCTTGGTGCCAGCTGAAGCTACTGCACTCTGAGTCTCTGAAAAAGGAAAGATTTCTCCAGACAAATTCTGTTCAACCTTTAATTGGTCAGCTGCTATTCATAATGTAAAAGTCCAGAAATAGCCCAAAAGACAAAAAGAAAAGGAGTGATTTTGATTCTTATTACTGTCTTGTTGCACTTAATACTAAGGATTTATGTTACACTCTCAAGAGTTTAATTGCTATAACAGTTCCAAACATTTAGCTGTAGAATACGGAATCTATCTACAGTTACAAACACAAGACATCACCTCTGTGCAGGAGTCCCATCTTATGATGAGCGTGTTATAGGAGACATAATGTTATTGAAATAAAAACTCAGATTTTAGGAGTCACTGATAATAACTGTTTAATGTATATGCATTGAAGGAATAGACAGCAAAACTGAGACTTTCCTCCGTCAGTTTTTTTCCCCACTGAGCCTGTCCACGGCTTTTTTCTCTCGTTTACGTGTCTGGAGGCTCGTCAAAAACCGCTTTGGTAAGTGTGAAAATAGAGGTTTTATAGGGAGACCATGCAACTACAATTGATTCAGGAGTGTCTCACGCTGGCGAGAGAGTTTTAGGATTAAATACAATGCAGACCTGTCGTCCTTAGATGAAGAAAATGTTTCAGTTCACAGCCCTTCGGTTTTGTCATTGTTCCTGTAGTTAAGATTTTCCTCGAAGCGGCAAGAGCAACCGACAATTCATGATTAAAGTCACTGAGCTCACTGAAACGCGACTTCCGAAGTTTCGCATTATACACAGGGACTGTGTATATTTTTCCTGATGTTTATTTGTGGTTTTGGGTGATGGCCGCATCCGAAAAGTGCATCGTCTTGCACCTGATAAAAACTAAACAAACAGTCCTTTATGTCATTATACCATTGTTAGTTTGGTTTTTGTTGTTTACTATTTTGTTCTGGTGCATTTATATATGCTGAGGCAACATTTTGGTTTCAGTTCAGAATATCTGACGAGGCAGCAAAAAGCTCGTCACACCTGTGCGTTTTAATTTTGAACATTCATGAAAAAAATAATAATAATGACACTCCAAACCGTAACGATCCTTTGTTAGAGAAACACGACGCACCGGAGAGGTGAACTCCTGCTCCGCTTGACGTGCTGCTGTTGATGAAGCCCCTCACGGGCAGGCGGGCGCTCCTCTTAATCGGGATTAGAGCGGAGAGCGGAGAGAACTCTGCCGTCTGGACCTCAGCTTGTTTCGAGCCGGGAGACCCACTGTACTGTCCATGCATTTGCAAATACTAAAACCGTGAATAGGCCTACTGTATCGGATCTGTAATGCAATATATTCCCCATCTCTGACTGGGCGAAGTACGTCAGGTCGCTTCTAGAAAGTGCGCACCTAGCAGAAGTTATCTTAAAGGAACTAAAAGGGAAAATTGTGTGTTAACTGTATCGCCAATGTAAAAGGTCACGCGTAGAGGATACAACAGCAACAGTGGGACCGTGACAGACTGAAGGCTTAGCCCACATTTTCATCTGAAAATATTAACCATTATCCCCGCACAATAACTTGACTTCACGGTGCTAACTACTTCAACGTCACAACTAACTGCAAACCAGAAATGATCTAAGCAACTTTCAAAACTGACTTCACTCTGCTCCTGAAATATTGCTTGCTAAATCGTAACCCAAGAACAGATGTAGCCTTTACTCTATCCTTTCCCTTCAAAGCGTGCCTGTTTAATCCACAAGATAACAGTTCGTCTTTTAACTCGACAAATAGGCGACAATCTGCTTTTGAAGTGAAAAAAAAAAAACAAATCACAACGTAGTTATGAACATGAGTCAATTATGCAAACACACACAAAAAAAAAAGTTCTATAAAACGTACAATATGGACTCTTTTCAAAGATAAGTTAAGAAAACGCCAGTGTCCGATAGGCTCAACCCGTTTACAAATACCTGCACGGTGTTATCGATGTTCGGGGAATAATCGGAAGAAATCGGAAAGTATTCAACATTAGAGAACCTACCTTTGATACAAAGTAGAGTCACCCAGGCAATCCATAAATCCGAGTTATGGAATTTCAGCATCATTAATGAACTTGTCAACCCGTTTTGAGCTGTTCTCCCGGAGTCAGCAGTTTCCTTTTGAGGAAAACTGCAACCTGTAACTCGATTTGTGCCCTGAAAACTTCTGAATGCTGTACCAGAGCTATATCTACGTTCAAGCGAAGTCCTTTAGCATGCTCTGTATTGTTGCTTCAAACTTGCACTGGTTTTCTCGGTGCACCTGGGCGAGTGGCAATAGTAATTTAGCTGAGATTTGCAGCCGCAGCAGCATGGCTTCATGTGCAGTCGCGTCTGCTCCTCGCTGCCTGGGGATTTTCATCCGCCAGCGTGCACTCTCTTCTTAGGCTCAGCGATCTACTTGCGACACTGATTGATGGCTCGGTCCGTTGCCAGGGAACCACGGACGCCAGAATGCAACTCAAAGTAACGATGCCCTCTGCTGGCTACAGGTGAGGTTGTTGTTGCTGCATATTTTCTCTCCTCTGGTAGATTTCATAAACGCATTTTTTTTTTCATATATATATATTCCAGTGCTTCTATCCCTGCAATGTTGTCACAGAGGTTATGTTATTAAAAAGTAGCTCTAAGGTCGTTGGCGAGACACGTATAACCACTAGCCTGTAACGCGTTTTATTCGTGATAACTTCTATAAAATATTGTCCATTCTAGTCCTGAAAGTCAGGAAATCCTGAAACCTGAAAGGTTTTCGGCATTCTTTTCATATAAATTTAAACCCGAAGTTTGAAATCAGTGCCCCCGTATGGTGACTGGTGTCTCTGTGCTCTAGGGGTGCGCTAGTATTCAGATGAGACATTAAACTGAAGTCCTGACTTCTTCATCATCAAAGTTTCTACAGTGCTGTTTGTAAGTGAAGGGGAGTAAACCCTGATGCCCTGGGGAATTTCCACTCTGGGCTTGTACAATCTGGCCTCCCTAAGCCAATTTAAAGACGCCATCATGAGCCGTACTAGGTTAAGATTTTGTGCACATGTTGTGCACATGGGGCACCAGGCAAACAAAGCAAATGTAGTTTCTTTGTTGTTTTTTTAAGAAAGACAAATCAAGGCAAGAAAACTGAGCCCACTATCCATCCATCCATTTTCTAACAGTTTACTCCTGGCGAGAATCGTGGTGATGACTTCCCTTTCCCCAGCCACAGTCTCCAGCTTTTCCTGTGGGACTCCCAGGTGCTCCAGCGTGTCCTGGGTCTCCTCCCAGTGGGCTGTGCCTGGTGCCTCTCCAGTGGGAGGCTCCTGGGGGGGCATCCTCTTCTCCACTGGCTCCTCTTGGTCCAGAGCAGCCATGACTCTACTCAAAGGCCCTCCCCGAGTGCCGAGCTCCTCCTTCTGTCACGGAGAAACGTTATTTCTGCCCCCTGTACCTGCGATCGATAGGTGAGGAGGAGGACCTTGTCATGCTTGAGGGGCTTGAGTGTCCCATAGAACTGTAGAGCTGTGTCGGGATCCCTGGTCTCCTGCTAGGTGTACCCTTGGCCAGGTGAAGGACCAGACAGACAATAATAATAATCCAAACTACACTGCCATGATGGTTCCATTAAGAGCTAAGAGAACCCCTGCCCAGATCAGAGACACCTGCAGCCGGCCCTGGGGGTGGTGTTCGCTGCCGAGCACCCAGCGGTCAGGCCACCTACAGTACGTAACCCAGCCGGTCTCAGCCTGAAATGGCTACAGCTGTCACATGGGCTCACCGCCCGCAAGATGACAGATGGGGGCTGGTGCGATGCCCGTCAAGTGACGGGCATGGGCCGGATGGCTTGGAATTAAGTAGAAGCAAAGTAGATATCCCTAAAATTCACATTAGAAAGAGTTACTGGAGTGCTTGTTTCAGAGAACATCAGTGCAGAAACCCTTCGGCCGTGAAGCAAGGCATTGGTTTCATAATTGTGTAGAGCAGGCAGCTGTGTGCATGTCATGCAGATTTTTCCTGCATTGCTAAGCAGGCAATCCTGGAACACATCTGGTTTTTGTAGGTTCTCGTAACCATCAGAGACCGACTCGAGTTTTCTTCAGTCAGAAAATCCCTGAGCAAGAGATTGCTCAATGTTAGGTCTGCTGGGCATGGGCCATTAATTTCCTAATTATTTCAATAGGCTTTGCTCTGTTGCATTTTGGAATTGATTTGGTTGCAAAGAGACCCATTTAAATTTTCACTTTTCTTAAGGGTAGTTATTGAGGCAGGTTTTCACATCTTTAGGCTTTTTCAAGACTCAGGTGTAATGTAATCAGCAAAGCACACTAGGAGCACACAAGAAGCTCAAAGAAAAAGGAAAAGTTTGCTCAGACTGATGCAGAGGTGGACATTTCTGGGGATTCAGACATTAAAATTCCTATTCTACCTGCTGCATTTACAACTTTGTTGAAGTAGTTTTTTTTTTTCCAAATACACTGCTTTCCTGGAAATTATTGATATGTTGAAGCAAGAAAGAAAAACTGCATAGATGAGAATGTTTCTTTCATACTATTGGGAGTTACCAAGTAACTCTAGGCAGAATTTGTTCCAGGGGTTTTGAATGCTATAGGCAATTTAGACTACTATAATATCCCAGGAACATAAACTTTGGAAAAATAAGCAAAATACTGGTCTCTGTTTTGTTGAAAAACTTTTTTTAAACAATAAGTAAAATATTCAAAACTTTTAATGTGTTCAGAAGTTTTGAAATTGAGCCTGTGGGTGCTGGCAACTCATAAAAAAAGGATTAACACACGGCAGTTGGCTAAGTTTCAGTTGCCTACTCTGGGAGAAAGACTGCCTGCAGCTTCAATGCAGCTAACCATGGTCTTTTACAGGAAGCAGCTAAGCCTCAGAGGAGTAAAGTGTTGTTAAATCTCAAGAAGTATCTCCAAACTTCTACAGCCAACCTAAGGGATAATAACAGACAAGTCATGATTAACATTGATGTGTGATATAACTTTCAAGCATAACATTAAACGTCTCAAGCAACAACATTAGAGTACTACCTACAGTTGCTACCCTGAAAAGGCTTTTAAGTTTCCATTCTGTTCCATACAGCAGGGAATCTACAAGCCTTTTAACCTGAGAGAGATCTTGACCTACTTTTTTACTTTTAGTTCTCTCTCCAGGTGGCTCAGGAAATGCCATTTTTTAAAATATCTGGTGGTGAAATACAATAATCATCCAGACTTACATTAAGGCACTATTTTGATTTTTGAAGAATTAAATATATTGTAAAATTGAGTTTTAAAAATTAAATTGGAAAACAAGAGTTTTAAATATATATATACATATTTAAATATGATGCCCCTGTCTCACCTAGACCAGAACTGCACAGCTCTGCTTAAGAATGTTCTTACTGTGGTGCTTGAATAAGTTATCAGCATAACAGCACCTACATCCGGAAGGACACCTGATATATTATTGATTTATTCTTCAGTTACTATATTGCCTTTTTCAAAGCCATATAAAAAATTGAAATGTGGCAGACACGATCCTTTATTTTAAATATTTTAACTCTTATTCCAGCAGGACCTCTTGAGTGGTTTACTTTAATGATATAGTTTTCATAAGAGTAATTTTTGTCATCAAATAACACACACATATTCACATGGTTCAGAATCCACCATAGTTTAAAAGAACTAGATTAATTACATACAAATGTGACCTTTTAAGGATAAAATGGATGGATCTATTTTAGAAACATCTATTTTAAATTAATTTAACCTCTGCATTAACAAATACTCAGATTTTCAACTTCCCAGTTCTCTTGAATTCCTGACCTTCCAAATAAATGCCAAAGCTATCATTAGTTTTTTTTTTTTGCATCATACAGTATTTAGCAGAATTAGGAGTTTCTACATCTAGAAAGTACTACGTTGTGGAGATCTGAGAGCAGGCAGGACAAATGAAAATAGACCTGTTTCCTCTTTTAAATAATCAAGTCAAATGACTCACCGTCAGAGTCTGCTGTTCTAGAAAGGCTCTACTTTGAAATCACTAAATCGGCTCAGTTGTTGCCTCTGTTGTATCTAAACCAAGATCTAGTATTAAGTGAGGCGAACCCAGGCCTGTACAATAAGACCTCATTCAGAATAAAGTTTACATTTGTGGTCAGAATGTGGTCAGAATGTTTACAAAATACAGTAGTAGAATACAGTAGATATTGCTGGCCTGGAGTCCATCCGAGCTTAAAATAATTTTCTACCCCCGACAGGATGAAAGAAGTTAATTGTTTTGGTCTTGAACAGGGAAGACTACAAATGGATCAAATAATGAAAATCCCCAAAGACACAGAATCAACCCAATGAACTTCTTTCATAATCTACAGTGAAACATACACCAGAGGGACGCTAGTGGAAACTATGGGGAAGAAGCTTTTAAAACTTTGGAGAAGAGGCACTTCTTGACACAAGTGCAGGGGTCTGGGTGCCAAGCCACGGTAATCAAGACCTGGCACAAAACCCCAAAAGGCCTGCGATGATCTTCAGAAGCCATCCTATTCAGACCAGGGTGCATGAGAGTAAGTCGTGATTTGGACAGGGCAGTTCTTAACTGAGGTTTGTGTGGGATGACAGCAAACAGGCTGTTACCTCTCCTGCTTCTCGTACGGCCCCTTTAAGAAGGCGCAGAACTTTCCAAAATACCTGACCACTCACCTGTCTCTTTCAATCCTCGCATTCTCCCATTCCTGAGTGTTTTGGAAGATCATCTCCCAAGTACTCGGCGCTTTTTCCTGTCTCGTTTCTCCTGGCTTTCGGGTTGCTCTTCACCCCTGACCTTGATGCTTGGATTTCGCTCTTCGGCTTGTTATTTTGGTTAACGCTTTAACTGGTATTCGGACTCCTCGGCTTTCTGGCTGCCTGGTTTACGACTTTGTTTTGTGCTTGGGTACTCATTGGTGGTGTTTTTCCTATGGTTTTGGACTTTTGGACTGGGTACTGGTTTAAGGCTTTAGAACATGGTTTCCCTACTCTGCGCAGGATCCTTCACGATCTACCTGGCTACCCCAACACAAGCCACAATCCGCCCCGTAAAATACACGCCACACAAATCCCTCTGACTTTTGCATTTCTCCTCCCGCATCCCTTCCACCCCGTTAACCTTTGACCCCTTGGTTAACACCTCACTCTGCAGGGGGTCTTGACCTCGCATGGACAGGAGAACAGGCGGGTTCAGTCACCTTCTACAGTACCTACTCAAACGCCCTCAAACACACCTAATTTTTGAGTGTCATTTGTCTTCTCTGGATGTACTGTACGTCAAGTCAAGTCCAACGAGCAGTGTTACGCGTTGAATACGATAAAATACTAAAAACACCCGAAGAAGGCTCCACAGCCAAAACGTTGTTTCTTTTCTTCTTTTTTCAGCATGAATTAAACCTTTACTTGTTCCTTTACAATTAAAATATACGTGCCCACCCAAAAAAAAACACATTACATAAAATAATGTTGCACATAAGGGTTAATAAACAACAAGTATTCAGGATCTTTCTGCGAATGAAAAAAACTTTAATTATTACGACAGAAGCAGTAGCTGCTCGCTTCAGTTCATATAAATATGAATATGGAAGTCTGTGGGCTAAAGCGCTTAAAATCGCCAAAATGTAACATGAATGGTGTTTAATCTCAGGTCAGAAATTATTTATACAAATAATTTAGGAAGAGATCTTAATGTTAAAGTATAGTGAAATGAAAAAAAAAATCATACATTGTAAGACACGGGCTTTCTCTACGGTCAAAAAGTTTAATAAAATCACATTGTAATCTTTAACATCAATTGTTATTCACGTGCTAAAACTATAAATTCCTTTATCCTAATGGATTTATATATATTAGTCTGTAGCCGATCTTAAGAAAAAACATTCTTAAAACCTCAATGTGAGCGTTTAGGATAATGTACAGTACCTACTAGGATAAATGTGCATTTTTTTTACATTTTATTCAGAAAATGTTGATTAGTCTTGTATATTGCAGAATGCTTCATCTTGCGGTGCCTTGTGAATTTCACGTGTAGTTTAAAAGGTCCCGAGCCAAATAGTCATACCGCCAGCAGCCATATCACCCTGAAAATCACAACTGGCAGCACACTGAAGCTAAGTACTGTAGGTGTGAACCTGGTCAGTACCTGGATAGGAAACCTCCTGGGAAAAACTAAGGATGCTGCTGGAAGAGGTGTTATTGGGGCCAGCAGGGGGCGCTCATTTATAGGCTAATAAGTGCCTGTTTAAAGTGTTACACCGTGTCAATCAGAAAGTGACGATATAATGATACTTCAGCTTAGTTTTCAGCAATCTTGTGTATTTTTCATGAAATTAAAAAAACACGAACATGGAACAAAGCAATAAAATCCAATGTTTCAATGAGCGAGACTGAATCACTGAATTAAACAATTAGCTTCAATACTTGGGACCGTTCTCGTGTAGTAAAACACGACACACCAAGAGAAAACTATTGTAACGTGCTGTGTGTGTCCGGTATATACTGGAATTGGATTTGGAAAACCAAAAATCTGCTATCTTTTAATGATATAAACCACAAGAGCACATCTGCAAATTTTAAGAAGGTAACATGCAAGATGTTAAGACCAGTAGACATTTGCTAAAAACAAAACTAAACTATTAACAGAGTATAGTGCACTTCAGCTAGCGGGGTAAAACTAGCGCGCCGGAAAGTTTCGATGCAGCGCCTACTGATGATGTTGAAATCCATCACCAGGCTCTGTGGTGAATTGCGGATGAGAGAGCCTGTATTACCCCCTCCCCGCGTTTCGCGACGGTTTATGCCCTTGTCCACCCCGTTTCTGCACGTTTTCTTCAAACAATCCCCGTGTAGTCGGAGGGACCAACCTTTAAGAACGCATGCACTCGAAAGTTATTTCTACTCTCCATAAACACTACTCACAGAGGAGTTGCGGTCGTACTGTACGGTTTTTTTGTATGCATAAATAATAATACAAATTACAATACAAACGAGAGTACATATACACTTTCAAGACACAAACATCGTCAGGGGTACATACTGCAAATTACATTTAAATTATGAAAGAAAAGTTTAAACAAATCCAATAAAAAAATGACGTCTTTCATACTTTTGCATTTTGAAATAGTCGGCAGATACTCCTCTACATCCCGTTTAAAATGCTCAAACGAGGGATTCTCCCCCAGACCTCTTCATCGTCCAGTATGTGTGTAACTACTGTTCTGTCCTCTGCCTTTGCACCGACATACAGGGCGGCACGCCTCCTGCACGTGACACGGAGCTGGCCCGTGCGTTCTGCCACGGGGCGTGTCCCGCTGTTTGTGTTTTCCTCGGCTCACACGCGCGACGCGGCCCCGGAGCGCACGGCGGGGTGACGTCACGCGGAAGGTGCCTGCGATGCCTGCTGAAGGCGAGTGCGGGCACCGCCGGCGATGATGGCCGATGCACGGAGAGCCCACTCGGCCGGCAGCGCTCCGAAGAGGGCTGCGGACAGCTGGAAGCGTCACATCGCCCGGCAGCTCAAGCAGCGGGACCTGGCCCAGAAGATCATGTTCCAGGATGTCATCCGATCGTGTACGCCGCCCGCTTCATAACTATCGTTGTCTAACTTCTTCACATCCTCTTCGTTTAGAGCGAGGATGTTAAAATGCATCTGGTGTAAAACTACTCCATGCGTTCCTACGTTGATCCTCTGGGTTTTTTTTTAATTTCGTTTTTCTTGCGCTTCGAAAACTAAGAACAGGCGTGAATCAGTGAAGAAGCAGCGCATTCTCGAATCGTGACACCGCTGGGGATCTGCTTTTTTTTCATATTAAAAGTTCTGCCGGAGTGGTTCAGCAGTTCCGACAGGCGATTATCTTTTGCAGAAGACTGGAATAAAAGGATAAACATCTTTTCTGGGGGGTCGCTTTTTCTTTCCGCCTATCGTGCAGGGCATGTTGTTTTTGTTTAGGTGAAAATAAAATTAATAGTATCCATTCAATTTACTCTTCTGTAACGTAGGTCTGAAAAACTAGGAAGTTATTTTTCCATTTCTCAAGGTGGAGACAGCGGTTTCGCCGCTGGCATTATTGACTTTGTCGAAGACCGAACCTTTCAGCCCTGCAGTACCCAGCGTTGTCGGCGAATTAATTTTTCTGCAACTTATTCTTCTGCTGCTACAGTCGTAGTTGTTCGAGTTGTCCTGCCCGCTTAGGAAAGATAAAAAGTCTGTACAAAACCAAAGAAAAAAATAATTACATTTGTTCTTTTTTAGACTTAGGATGCACAGTATTCTCTTCACAATTCTTTCCACCTATTTCTGCAGACATGGTGCTGCTGGAGAAATTCAAGCAGAAGGATCAGATCACGCGACGGCTGCTGGGCTCAGCAGAGAGGTATTGATCCAGCTTCGTGTTTAACGTGATGTTTCAAGGCTCTTCAAGTCAACGAGAAGCAGCAATCAGTACCTCTGTAAATACTCTGTTCACTCCACCGCTGCTACTGTACACCCTGAGTACTAAATCATTTCAGAGGAATGTTGATGATCGGGAATGCAGTCTATCTCATCTCCGTAATCAATCTCGCCACATTTCTGCTTCCTCATAAAGTCACGTAATGTACAGTAGTACATGAGCATTAGTAAGCTGGAGCAAACCTTTCATGAGTAATGTTCTAATGAATATAGCAAATTCTCTCATACTTCTTTTCTCAGATAACATCGCAATGATGCAGAACTGTAACAGTTACAGTTAGTATGTAAAAAAGATCCTGCCGAATAAATGCACAATTTCTAACAAGATGTTTAATGTTTATTGAACTACTGTCTATGTGGATAATGTTAGCCTCCCATCCTTGTACAACTCAGACTTGACGTGATGGAATAATAAAGGGGACACTGTCTGATTGGGGCCATGCAGGTGGTTTTAGGATGTTGGAAAGTGTCCTTGTTTAATAAGCTCCTCAGCAGGATAAGTGACTCAAAGTCATTCTGTCTTACAGGTGCTTGCCGGACTCAGTTTCTAAAAACTCATCAGAAATGGCTGTTGTCCAGCACGAGGATCAAGTGACATATCTCCAGAAGATTGGCAGAGAGGTACAGGGGACAATGCTTTTGAGCTCTTGAGCCCAACAGACAGCAGTTTGTTTTAGTTAGGTTGCATGAGACTCATGTTTACAGTTTAGCCATGGTTGTAGTAATGGGACAGCATAACAAGAAAGCCAGTAGCAGCTTCAATCAGGAGCATGCAAATCTATGTACTCTCTATTGCAGTAGATTTGAACAGGTGATTTTGAGTGGCATTAGAGTAACCCTTTCTGTCTGTGATCAGTGAGGTTCAAATGAAACATGTGCCTGGCACCGTTTGAATGAGCTTTCTGCATACCTGTATATCCCGGATTTTATTTGAATAAAGTAAGTCTAAAACTGGGAGTTAATTAGATGAGATTCACTTCCGGGAATATGAATGACACTGTATTTTACACATAATGTGAATATTGTTTTTCAACTCAACGTGAAACCTGTGTCTAGTAATGGATTGCCATCAAAACTGAAAATCGGATCATTGTGTCATAAGATCGTTGGTCACTTCCTCTGGGAGGGAGTGGCACACTGTGGCAAGCCGATGTGCTGGCCTAGCAGGATTCACCACTGCCCAGTGGTTCGAGTGTTAAAGGGACAGTTACCCGATTGACACTGCCCTTAAAGATACATCGGCCATGTGACTCAGATGAAGGGGACATTGCTAAACCGTGCCTCTGGTTGTAGAAAGCAGGTTGCTGATTAATGCAAATACATGAATGAAGCTGCTGTAGTGAAAGTTGGCCAAATATTTGCCACGACTAACAAATGGGATTGGAAGCAAAGCAGGACGCTCAGATAGCTACTGATAGTCACACGCCCCTTTTGTCAGTACCGCCTGGCAAGATACACAGTGAGTGAGTAAACGAGCTCAAAATCTTTCAGTGTTTTGAAAACAAAGGAGATGTTTTGGTTTGTTTCCAGCTGGCCTATGAGGTTGTGGATCTCCAGAAGAGTGTAAGAATAAAAGACTCGTCCCTGGTGGGCCAGCGAGGCAGGTGAGGCCCCTTATAGGACAGAGCTCTTGCTTCCTGGAGAGTTTGTGACGCCCTCACTGTGTGGTGTGTGGTCCGATTGTTTTGTAGCGCAAAATGCTGCTTCAGAAGGTGATGGGGCAACTCTGTTTATTTAGGATTACATTTGCATGGTAAAGGCAGGTGCACTTCAATGTGTCAGTTGTCCATGAAATGCAGAAAAGGAATAATATACACTCATATATAGATTTGCTTCATTTTGTTTAGTTTGTTTTTTTATAAATGATTATCTGCACGTTGCTATTAATCAGCACGTAAAGCCGACAGTTAATCAGTGTGATTTGGTGAGTGTTACTTGCTGGTGTCGGATATTAATGGATACTAATAAAGATGTAAGAAACGTTACAAGTGACAGGAGGCCATTAGGCCCATCTACCTCATGAGGTAGTTAGAATCGCAGGATTTCATCCAGCCTTTTCTCGAAAGAAACCAGAGGAATGCGTTTGTAAGATATTTATAATATTATGTGCAGTCTGTGTAGCAGAGCTAGTTCGGGCACGGTGACGTCATCGCCCTCCCTGGGCGTAACGGGGACCTCAGCCGCCTGCGCTGGGGGGGGTCTCCTTTAGCTCATGCGGCTGGTTCTCTGTTGCGTTACGCCGGAGACCCGGGTTCGTGCCCCAGGTGTTGCGGGACGAAACGGGCGGGGGAGGGCACGAGCCCGCGCGGAACCGCGACAGTCACATTTGCGATTAGGATCCAGAGCCTAACAGAGAGTGCCGGTTCACCCTCCCCCCGGGCCCAGGATGTCGGAGCTGAAGCGACGTCTGGGAGCTGTGGAGTCGGAGTGCAGGAGCCTGAGGGCGCGAGTCGCCGAGGTGCAGGAGGGAAACCGCGCCTTGAAAAGGGAGTACGATTCCCTGCTGGAGCAGCACCGCAGGATGGACGAGACGTACCGCCGGGAGGAGGTGCGGGGCTCCGAGCTTCTGGAAGACCTCATCAAGGGCAAGGAGCTGGCCGCTGAGAGCATGAACAGCAAGAACGAGAGGAGAGTGCAGTGAGTGTCTTTGGGAGGGTCCCAGCAGGCAGGGCGCCCCGCACTGGGGGCGAGAGTCTGCTTCTGCAGCTTGTGATGGACGGCACTTCGGCTGAATTCTGGTGGGATGTGCCTCTGTGGTTGAGGCCTGTGAAGTCATGGTAGCAATGTGTGGTAGAACACGTTGCTACCGTGATCAGATTGCCAGCTGAGACGTGCTCACAAACTATAGAAACAGGTGTAGCACTAAAATGAGCACCTGATTTTTACCTTATGAACCCGCATGGTTTTAATCGGAGATAGATCTTCATCAAACCTGCCTCTTCCCCTCATAGCTTAGTAGTACTTACAGAAGCTCTTTTCAATCAGGGAGTCTGTTTATTTGTCCTAAAGAATTGTGTATTTTATAGAGAGACAAACAAAGGGTACTATTGAGTGACAAGTAAGCACTAAAATTAGTGAAGCCTAACTGCTGCATATTCCTCCCCCTAGACCTTCATTTGAAATACATGTATTTTCATTTTATACATTGTTTTTCTTCGAGTGGCCCATGTATCATTGACATGACAGGGTGCTTGCTGAAAAGACTTTAGAGTACAGTGCATCTTGGTGGTCTTTCTCCCTTGCTCAGTCGCAGTATAGTAGGGATAGCATTTTCCAGTATGTGCTGGGTTTTTCACTGGGGCAGTAATGTTTAATGTGACGATTAATGTGGCCTTCTTTCCTAACAACACAGAGCGAGAGCTGCCACTTTGAAAAAGGAGCTGGAGACAGCAGTAAAGAAGAAAGTCAACATTGACATGTAAGTGCAGCGAAGCAGTCAGTGTAATGGTGTGTTGTATGGTAATGGTGTTTAGGATGTTTCACACCTCTCGTCCATGAAATTATCCATAAAACTGGTGTGGAAAGTCGAAAACTATTCAGTCACTGCAATCCTAGTAAATGATAATGTGAAATTTCTCAGGCATCAGTAGTTATACAGTGAATGGATAATAATTGTACACTGTCTTAAATTATAAAACAGTTGTAAGGAACATTAAACCAATATTGGTTAATTATTTGATGTTGTAATAAGTGTGAAACATACTATTTATATGCTTTACATGCAGGCACATGCTGTGGTTGGGTGGCTCTAAGTGAAATACATTTAACTCAGGCAGGCTTTTAAAAGTTTGTTTTATTATATCTTGTTTTCTAGTAACCTAACAGTCTAAATCTCTTATATCCTGAGAGGCATTAAAACTATTAGCAATACTATTGTTTCCAATAGTCTTTTGTTAAGTTTTATTGCCTTTAAGTCTTGAATATTTTTTAGCCCATGATAGTTTTATTGTGAGGTATCTCACACAAAATTATCTGGGACATTTTCCTCTACCCTTGAATAAAAGCTCTCCAGTACCACTTAAAACCCTTCACATTTGCTGCCACTTGATATCTCTAGTCCTACTTTTTGGAAAGATAACTGTTTTAGAGTAAATGTATGTGAATAGAGGTTAAGAGAAGATTCCAGAAAATGAACTGTTGACAGTTTATCCTGGATATGTTTTAGTTGTGCTTATAGACCAGCACAATAACACGATAGACTGTTCAAGGTTTGCTTGAAGTATCTACACCCCCACATTGAAAGCCTAAAGGCTGCTTCCACAATCTGAAGAATGTCTGGTTATTTACAGGAATCTAAAAAAAACGCTAAAAAATGCAGTTGGGTGACAAGTGGGAGAGCAGGCAGGGAATTGTGCATTAATGCACCACGCGAAAGAGGAATTGGTAGGTTTGTGAAAGCCTTTGGGAAGTCTTATTGAAACAGACCAAGCATAAGAGTGAATTGTAATTGGCCTCCTGTGAGGAATTAACCTGTTAAGCAGCACAAAGCAGTGCCTGCCTGGAGTAATTATGTGGTATAAACCCAGAAGATCTGAGTCTGCAGAGGTGACAGGCTCTAGGTGTTCACTTGAAGCTTGTCTGTAAGCCAGCACTAATTGGAAAGCGATCAATCCTCTTCTGGTAATTGTAATAGATTTCATGGGTCCAATTTATAAATCACCAACAAGCTCAGCCAGCAAAAAAGCCGTAGGGTTTTGATGCGGACACCTTTGAGATCTCGCCCCAACATTTGGAAATAATTAAATAAATTGATGTGAAACAGAACTCCGTCAAGCAGCTAGCACATATAGTGTGTTGTGGTGCTCCTATCATCTGACGTGAAAACTATATGTGGGGGATATGCAACATGATTTCAGCATTACTTGATGTAAAACATTTAAACAGTAGTTTTGAATCAGTAATACTGTAAATGCCATCCCTCCACTTGGTTTAATTTAATGCAGTTAATTTAGATCTAATCATCTAATCTGAGGTGTGAAAGTTTATCGTTGTTGTTTTTCAGTGCAGTAGCTCAGCGGTAATCGTTCAGAGTTCAAGGTTTCCTGTCACTCGTGTTATTATCTTAAAAATCGAAATTGGAAATGGGACTCCCGAGGGGTCAAGCTGTAGGAGGCGTTCACATGGGGGTTTCAGCCTGGGTCATGTCCGCCGCTGGCCACGAGCAGGGTTCGCGGAGCGGTAGCACACGATCGGCTGGGGTCAAGGCTAGAGTTGGTCAGCGAGGGATGTTTTAGCTTATGCTCATACAGTGACCCCTTCGGTCTCCCGGGCAGCTGCAGTGCTGAGGGTGACGGAGGTGCTTCTCCCTCAGTTGATTTTGGCCAGATGGCCTGAGGGCGGCAGGACCCGAGTCCTCCTACACCTCCTCACTCTCCCCTCGTGTGATCAGTGGGGTTAGTAGCTGTAAACCGGGGTGTGAAAGCAGAAATTGGCCATTTTGCCATTGGATGGTTATATAGCAAATAGAATTGGGTGGGGAGTGGGATGTAACGCTGAGTGTTAAATGCCCTTTGTTTCTCTTTTTTTTTTTTTGCTGTTCCGCGTCTTTTATTTTAAAGTGGTTCTGGAAATACGCAGCCTACGAAAAGAGGAGCTCTAAAGGAGGAAGTGGAAGAAAAAGCGGAGAAGCGACCGACCAGATCCTTTCGGTAAGAAGGAATGGCAGTGCTCTTCCATGCGGGCTGTGAGAAAGCAACAATTCAGACAGGCATGTTGCATTTTCACTTCAGCACGAAACGGGATCAGGACAGACAGGTTGACCAGCAGGAATGTGCGGGGGCAGTGGATGAATGTTGTCATGCTTCACCCATTTTGTTTTATCAGCTTCATCTGATCTCATTTCAGATCTGCCTCTGCCACCTCACCCAGGATCTTAGAGTCCATTAAGGAGCTCTTTGAGTAAGCCATTTTATTTCGTCTTGGAGTCTTTCTCAAAGCTCCCATATCTAATTCAAGAAAGTATATGTGATATGTGATAACTGTTGAGAAATTCTTTTTTAGATTGTCATAGTTTACGGAGTTTCTTGCTTATCTTATGATTCATCTCTCACTCATTCATGCCAGCCGTTAATGTCATTCAGATCCACATATGTGTGTCGCTTGCAGCCAATTACATGCAGCATTTTGGCCAGATCCCTGCTCTGTGCAAGCACAGACTGTTTTGTTGACTGCAGTATATTATTAACTGGCTTATTGCACATCCCATTTCAGAATGAGAAAGCGAGGCAGTTCCGTCAGCAGTCTGGAAGAGGATCTCTGTGTTCCTGTTGGAGTTTGCGTGGTAGCCAGGGTACCTGCTAAAGCACTACATGTCTTGGTAAGAATGATGGCTCTTCAGCACACAGGATGTAGTGGAGTCTCAGGAAATCCTCTGCCCACTGCCTGTACTAGAGCTGGTGGTTCTCCGCTAGTCTCTGCCCTTTCTCACCTCAGTGTAATACCAAAGAAGGCAAAGTCAAGACTTTCATGAGTAAATCGATTATTTTGATTTTCCACCTGTCGGGTGATTAATAACGTTTCCAGATCTGTGTGAACGGAAATATTCACTTGGCTGGAATGGCCTTTTCTGGATTGAATGGAAACGTTGTTCAGGATGACGATGCATGGATGAATGACGTTGCTCCTTTTTTTTTTGCTTCTTGCCCTCATAGCCTGAATGTTTTGATGGAACAAACTACACATACATACAGAAATACACATACAGAAAATGTTAGGACTCATAAAGGATTCGGATAAGGGGCCAAATTAGGATCCTGCAGTTTTGGAAGTATAGCTTAAAATCAAGGTGGGATTTTGCCTGTGGCCTTGGAGATGAAGAAGGAAGAGTGGCTTCCTCTTCGCTAAGTTGTGCGACAGGGCAGATGACTTTCACTGCTTTACCTGTTCCTTTGCACCTACACATACCGCTGCAGCTCCCTACTTGAGCTTTGTCACAATATAGCTGTCACTCTTTATCTGTTTTCCAGATGCCTTAAGATTCTGTAATACTTGTGCTGTCGTCCTGGGTTTTTGTGCACAAAATATTTAAATCACCATTTGAAAAGAAAAAAGAGAGTATTGGAGGATTGCCTTATGTTGTGTTCCTTACTGACAGCAGCATTTGCTCTTCAGCAGAACAGCTACAGTATGTTAAAAATGTCCTTAGGCTGCAGTAAACGATTTACACACATGACAAACTGATAAAAGCAAGATGATTACACGACTAATCAAACAGGCTTCAAACTTTTCCTACATTGTGTCTTTTCAAAATGTAATTTGCTACGATACATGTCAGGATTCATTAAGCTTGTAAATGTATGAAATTAGAAATACTGAATGGTAAACTGGCTCAGATTTGGGAGTTAATTCCATTCTGGCGCTCCTGCTGTCAGTGAGACAAAACACGCTCTGTGATTCTGTGACAACGCAGCTTTGTCTTGATGTTCTGTTCTGACACAGAAAGGCACAGCACACACTTGAGTCTTGAAGACAGTTCACACAGCGCATGGTGAACCAGAACTATTTCAGTTCACCATTTCCTGTTTTTCCTTTTACTTATGAAACTTTCTAGCATTTCACATATATATATTAAATATATTTATAATTTCTATAGGTTCACAAAACAAAATGTTCGTTCAATCATGCAGAGAGAGAGTGAGTAATTAAATTGAGATTAATTTCTCTCTGAAAGTAAAAAGCAAAGAAACTTTCAGCTGTGGATCCTTCAGGTGTGTGAACAGTGAGATGTGTGTAGAGGAAGAGGAACATTCCCCTTGTGATGAAGTATGACGTTGTTCCTCTGTAGTGCAGTATTTTGCACATAGTAATTTGTGAAATGTATTAATCTGTGTAGAGAAATATGATGCACTGCAGTTCTTCTGAATGCTTCTCTGGTACTGTACTGCTTTTTTAAGCTCTCACATTCTGATTGGTGTTGGAGCTTGACTCTATTATACTTTGTTATTTTTCAGTAAAGAATTAAATCTTATTCAAAGTAGTACTTCTCACTATACTTTTTTAACACTAAGAATTTAAAGATGTCATGCATCCTGTTTATACTTAATGCTATATGGAATAAAATATTCAATTTACATTAAGCCAGAATTGAATTAAGTTCACTTATGTTCAAAGAGGTGTTGACAAAGGTAAACCAGTTACATGCAAAGTGTTATGCAAAGTTCTTCAAATTACTTTTTACCAACATTTTAAAGTTTGTTGAACTTCCCTTGTGGCTGCTGGGTTTTCAGACTTCTAAGACTTAGTGGATGTGGTGAGGTGGTTCCATTGTATTATTTGTCATTGTATTAAGTGTGTTGTGTTACAGTATACTGTATGGTTTCTATTAAGTGCAGCAGTTATTCAGTCTGTTGCACCTCTCTTTAGTGAAAGTACACCCCTGTAGGGATCTCAGTCGTGACCTTTTCTTAAAGATTATGTATTTTCTGAAACATTTTTTGGTCCCTTTTCCAAGGGAACATTCAACACAAAATGGAAGCAAAATAAGGATTGTTTTGGAAGAAAGCTTCAGATGTTCTCTGGAAGGGTAGTACAGTGTCTCTTCATACCCAATTTTTGTATAACTTGAGTGCATCCTTAAACAGCAAGTTAAGAATGAAAGCAGATATCATTTTTCAAGCGATTCCTTGAAATGCATGTTTAAAATGGAAAAAAGCAACACTGATGCGTGGGTTGACCTCCTTGAGGTAGATTAATGTAGTTAATTTTATTGACATGTTATAAACAACTGTTAAATCTCCTTTCTCCTAGGATGCTCATGAATTAGGAATCAATGCTGTAAAATTCAGCTCCAGTTCCAAGCTGTTGGCTACAGGAGGCACCGACAGAGTCATCAAGGTCTGGGATATAAAAGCAGGTAGATGTTTTGTCATTGGCAATGAAATATGAAGGAAGCCAAAGAAACAAGGGAAGAATAAACTTCCCTGTATGAAGTGTAGGTGGCTTGGTCTCAGCACCACTGTTTAGAAGTGTTCTCTAAAGAGGTTTGTAGACTGAGGTACATGAAATATTAATAAGGATTCGATGTTTAGCTAAATTGAGCTGGCAACGATTTCACCAGTAGATGGCAGCAAATGCTCATTATTGTGTGGACTGCCACTTAAATCTTTTGTTGGGAAAAAAAAATGCACATCTTAACAGTTTGTTTCCTGTTGGACAGATATCACCGAAGATTCTTCTCTGTGTCCGTCTAGGGAATATGTGAAAAAGAATGTGAAAAAGACACAGTAATTATAATTTGTGTAAACTGCAACAGTAGAACTGTGTAATATTGCATTCTTTGAAGACCTTAGGGCATTTCAAACTTAAAATGGTTTCCTCAAAGCATAAATTCTTAGATCCTGTTATAATTTTTTTTTATTTTATTATTTTTTATTCTAAACTGTTCTTCAGCCTTTACAGATGTCTCTTTTTTTCATCATTGTATCGTGTTAAAACTTGCTTTTGTCATAATGTACGTTTGCAATGCAAAGCATCCCCAGTGAGGGCCGAGGTACTTCTCCAGCATTTCTTCACACAAAGCTGAATAATGAAGCAGCTACAGCAAGCATTCCCCCTTGGAATTATTATTTTTTTTCTTATTTCAAAAGCTTTTTAGTATGGAACAGTAAAGTATTATATGTCTGAATAGTGAGTTTGGAGTATTTTAAAATACTGCTTATTTGTAGCCAGCAGCCATATCACTCTGCAACTCACAACAGGCAACCCACTAAAGATAAGCAGGTGTGAGCCTGGTCAGTACCTGGATGGGAGACCTCCTGGGAAAAACTAAGGCTGCTGCTGGAAGAGGTGTTATTGGGGCCAGCAGGGGGCACTCACCCTGCGGTCCATGTGGGTCCTAATGCCCCAGTATAGGCGCCGTCCTTCAGATGAGACATAAAACTGAGGCCCCGACTCTGAGGTGTAACCTCGGTGTCCTGCCCAGAATTCCCATTGGCCTTTACCAGTCATGGCCTCCTAATAATCCCCATCTATGAATTGGCTTCATTACTCTGCTCTCCTGGTGAGCATTCTGGCGCACTATGGCTGCCGTCGCATCATCCAGGTGGTGGTGGAGGGGAGTTACCTGTAAAGAACTTTGAGTCGAGTGTCCTGGAAAGCACTATATAAGTGTAAGCAATTATAATTATTACTATTATTTGCTTTCATAAACCTTCCATGGTTTATTTTAGGCAGGATGCACAGCAGAGGAACACTAGGAGGCAGCAACGAGGGAATAACAAGTATAGAGTTTGACCCAACAGTAAGTAACTTACTTTTTCTCTTTCCCTTTTCTGTCTGACAGCTGCTTGTTCTTTCGGAGACACGTTTTTTAAAAGTATTGTGCGACTAGCTCTGTTGTCATGTTGCCTGATAAAAGCATGGGTACCAGGGAAGCATGAGGACCTGAAACATGACAATTAGTTTCAAGGAAAGTGAAAAATACAGTTATTTTCTGTTTAGCTTTTAAAGTTGACATACACTTTCTCACACACAGAAAGCAAGGTGTTTCAGTGTGAGCTATGAGGAGAGAGAAGACAGTGGTACTTTATACTGTAAAGTGTAGCATCTTATTGTTAAGCCTGAAAAGAACAGACAAAGAGACAAAAGAAAATACCGCTTACTTAAAAAATTTGTTAAATGTAACTTATGAAATTCTTCTGACCGTAAAAGCTTTACTGTATGGCCTCTAGAAGATATGTATTTGATTATACTGGAATGTGTGTCTTTTGCCATGGTTGTTTTCATTTCAGGTATCATGATGCATTAATAATAAAAGGGTTGCTATCACAAAAGGCAAAACTAGAGTTTCGTATCTGTGGTAACTAGAGGAGTGAAGCTTGTGATATAAGCTTTCAGGGTGTTTAATACATACTGTATCTTCTTTATTTAAGGGGACCAAAATTTTAGCTGCATCATACGACAATTCAGCCCTTTTCTGGAAACTGGATGATTGTGTGCCAAAGGTAATCAAACATGTTACTGATCTCAGACCTTTGATAAACCTGAGCATTGTAATTCAGTGAGCCGCATTTCAAAATCCTCAACACCCATCCATCAAAATACAGAAAACTCCCTGTCTGTGATATTGAAGCTGTCTGTTTTAATCAGAAAATAAAACATCAGGCCAAGATGCTGAACGTCCTGGAGTCTGACAGAAAATTCAGATACCAGTTCTTGCATGTGCACTCCAAACTCAACAACATGGATTTTCGAATGTTTTAAAAGTTAAGATACCAAGCACAGCTTTTACCGTTTTTTAACTTAATTTTTTGTGACTTTTATTTCATGTTCATCTTTCATTTCACATGCTGTTAAAATCCCTTTGCGTGCCAATAATTGCAGTGCTGTAGGTTGCCGACCATAGGTTGTGCTGGTGAAGAGGTGTAATTATTTATAGTGGAGAAGCAAAGGCAAAGTTCAAGGGCACTGCTTTATGAAATCAGGATTAAACAAAATCCTGTCTCTTTGTTTGGAGTCCTAACAATACTGCTGACACCATTCTAACTGGAGAACGGTGGTTGTTCACTTGCTGACTCTAAAAACACAGTTAGCAGTAACCCTGTTACAGGAGAAAAAGGAGCTACATCCTTCATAAAGAAACCCCCAACAACCACAGAAAATGGTTGGATTCACCCAGTAAAACTATACTCAGCTTAGCTTAGCTTTCTGGGTGTTGTAGTCTTAGCTAGTGCAGCTGTACACAAAGGACTACAAACAGACCTGACAAGGTGACAAAGAGTGAACATTTCCACACCCTAGTGTCGATGCTGTCCCTCTAATATCCCCATGAACAATTGCATATGTTTGCCTTTCGTGTTCAGTGCGAGAATTTCGTCTTGTTTTTACAGTTGACCTTGACCGGACATTCGCGCAAAGTGACAGCGGCTAAGTTTAAGTGTAGCCTTCGTCAGGTGGTGACGGGAAGTGCTGACAGAACAGTGAAGATCTGGGATCTACATCGACCTGCCTGTGAGCTTGGTTCTCTGTTTCATTCACCAGCACTTGTGGCGTTTGTGGAGAACAAGGCAATATAGAACGTTTTGCAAAGGAAAACTAGCTTGCGGATTTGCTACTTTACTGTGCATTTTCTCCATCATTGTTTGCAACTCAAGATGAAGTGAAGTGATAAATGAAGCTTCTTCTGTTGAAATGTAGCTTTCAGATTGAGTAATGATGGTCAGGAAAGTGTCTGCTTGTCCACAATTGTTGATGGGATCTCTGTCTAACAGGCTCTGAAGTTCTGATTAAAATTGTTCTGTGACTAGAGCATTTCCTTAAAACGACATCCTTAGTTGTGTTACTTTACGACTAAAGGATTTGTTTACTTCTCATCTGGCAGTAAACTAAATATCCAAATGATTAAAGAGGCTGTTCACAGGCAAAATTGTTATTCATTTAAATACCGGTGTAAAGTGAACCTTGTCAAAAGTCTTTTGTCCAGTGAATCAAGATGAAATGCTTGTGAAATTTTGTGTGATGAAACACTGTGATGGAGTGAGTTTCTGCCTGGTGTGAAAATAGGCCACATAGTTTATCTTTGGTCTTTTCCTCCCTGTATCTCTCATCTTCAGGTTTACTTTCTTCTATGATCATACTACACATCTCTCGAAGCTTTCAGGACTGATATTTACTGCCAGTTGACATTTATTATGGAATTCTAATTTACAAGCAATGGATTTATTACACCCTAATTGTTCATGTCACTGGCATTGGCTCTGTAACATTTTATTGGCTTGGAGGAGGCTATCAACCTGACCTCACTTAACTGTTGTCAGCTTTGATGTTGTCAACATGAAGTTATTAGGTCAGCTAAGTCACTTACTGTGCTTGGTATTTCCCCCACAAGGCATCAGGACCATAGATGTTTCCTCCTACTGCAGTGATGTGGTGTGTTCAGAGTACTTCATCGTCAGTGGGCACTATGACAAGAAGATCCGCTTCTGGGACAGCAGGTAGGGGTAAAAAGCACTACCCAGAGGTGCATTTAAAGAGAATGTTTACAAGAAACAGACACAACAAATAAAAGTAATAGTAGGTGAGGGAAGACAGAACTACTGAAACTGGGCAGAGCACCCTTCTTCAAATGATTTATACAAGTTGCTCACGAAACATTTAATGATCTTCACATTTGCCTATGGGTGAACCCTCAACCTTTATAATAATTTAATTCATGAGAGCTGCAGCTGTTGATGCTAAGCTACAGAAACACACTACATCCCATTTTTTTGCATTCAGTCTTATTATTTTAGCATTTACTTCGATTATTTGCCATCAATTAACAGACCAGGTACTTCAAGGGACTACTAATCCATGATGTCAATGCTGATACCCTGGCATCTTTCAAACAATGGCTGGATGAGATCTTTGGATCTAGTAGCAGCCATTCAAACCAAGTGGGCTGGAGAGCTTCCAGTTGTTTGTCACCTTTTTCTGTTCTTACATAATAAAATGAAAAAAAACGCTTTAGACAAACCAGTTCTATCTTAAGCATCACCTGCTATTGTTTGTATTAAAACTTACATTTCTTACTCAACTCTTTTTTTAATCATGTGTCACAATGTTGATTCTGTCAGATACCTATGGTATTGTTACTGCAGCACACACATCCCGCCATCTGACGCCTTGTTCTCGACTCAGAACTGAATGACACTGGGGATAAGAATGGTATACCCACTGTAAAAAGGGAAAATAAGGTTTTAACAAAATGCAGAGATGTCAGGATTGATGATCTAGTGTTCTTTGCAAGCTTCAGAGGGATATTTAAAACATGGCTGAAAGAATATTCTTCTGAAGGTATCTGCACTGTCTTTGTTTTGATTCTCCAATGCATTCAAACATACTGATATGTTTTGGATGTCTACCCAGAAACACAGGAAGCTCTTTTGCAGTATGCATTATTTAAAGAGAACTAAAAATGTTTTTTTTTCACAAGCTTTCAAGAAGCTTCTGTGCGCTTTTGGTGATGTGATTCAGTCTCTGGGGTATTTGGTGAAGTGCATATGCGATATCAACAATGCAAACAGCGCCACTTCTCAGAAATCCAACAGGACGTTGCCTACTGCCAAAGGATCATCTCAGCACAAATCCCGTGCTTCCCATTTAGAAAGTACCGTTTGTAGACGTTCGTTTTTTTCATGTCTTTTTCATAGCAGAAATGAAATATTTCATTGACGCCACACTCTCGAGTCCTTGACTCCAGATCGCCTTTTCAAACGGATCTACAATTGCAATCCCAAGCTGCAGCCCTGAAACATCCATGTGTTCTGCTGTTGCCTAGCAACGCTCGGCCTACATAATCATCTCTTCGCTTCTCCCATAATGGGATTTTCTCAGTTTTTATGACAGTCGAAAAATGGTGGTTAAAACCATGTATTAATTATATTTATTTGTCATTTTCTCCATAACAACTCCCCTCTCATTATTCTAAACGTATGATGCTATCAGTGTAATTGTTTACTCCTCATTATTTTCACAATTGTTCATAACAAAGGAAAGCCTTCGACGAAGGGATTGTCATTTAATACTGGCTGCTGACTGTATTAATAATAAATTATAGTAAAATGAAACCCTTGTAAATCTGGTTGGACAGTGCAGTACATTGGGCACACAGTACGTGGGAATATTTATTTACCTTGAGCTCGCAATAAAAATAAAAAAATGAAGGAAGAAGAAACAAATCACTGCATATTAGCATAATCTTGATTCTTCTTTTTCAGGATTTCATAAGTATTAAATCCCTTGTGGACATCATCCTTCAAGTTAGAATTTAATTCTGTAAAGACATGAGAGGACACCTGCAGCTTCATTTAGCATTTTAATTTCCATGACTTCAGCTGGGATTTGGAGGGGGATAAAAACATAATGGAGACTGTCCTCAAGGTGTTGTGGAACACGAGTTGGAAAAACTAGGTGTAGCTCTAGGTTAGTCTACATGGCAGCAGGATTTTCTTTATGATCCATCCGAACGAACTGTTTCTCCTGGTCTTCCCCAGAGCCTCAAGTTGCACGCAGGAGGTCCCCGCCCAAGGGAAGGTGACGTCTCTTGACATCAGCCTGGACCACAGGCAGCTCCTCACCTGCTCTCGAGACGAGAGCCTCCAGGTGATGGACCTGAGGATGAACAACGCCAGGATGTCCTTCAGGTACCACGCCACTCTGATGCTCCCCTGCGTGCCGATTCTGGGCCTGGCAACGGAAAACTAATTGCATCAAAACATTGGCCATTGAAACTCATTTTTTATGACCCCTCACACTCACAAAACAAGATCTGCAGCTCCCTATTCACTAGTTCAGTGATCTGTACCTCCTCCTAAAGCAGTGCTTCTGTGTTTTAATTTACCGCGTGTAAAATATCTGCCTGTTTAAGCTGCCTGCAGGAGACGGGACTCTGTGCCTCGGTAAGCTCGTGCAAGTTCTGGTACATGTTTTGTACTCTTAACTTTGTCTCTTGTCTTTTAGTTAGCCTTTTCTTTGTTGCTGTTTATTTTTTGGTTGTTGTAAATTGTACTTTGAAGTAAGTGGCTACATGGATTTCTCATTGTTGTTCAATGAGCATAAGCACACAGACTGTGCTGAAAATTTCATTATTCTTAGTCCTTATTCTCGTATCTCTTTTTCAGTTTTGTTGCTGTATGGATTTCCCTTTGCTCTTTTAGCTTGTTGTTGTCTGGGTGGGTTTTGCGCCCAGTGCAAAATAATATCTGTCATTGTGCCTCTTCTCTACAGGGCTGATGGTTTCAAGTGTGGATCAGACAGCACAAAGGCAATATTTAGGTAAGCTAGAAATTGTTTATAATGATTAACATCATTTACATAACAGGTTTCACCCTAAGTATCTCAAAGTAAAAGCAGAATTTATCTGATTCACCAGTGTTAACACCTCTACTCTTATGAACAGTGCCAGGGGATCTTTACTTACCCAGTAATCAGAATCTCGCACTGTGCAGTGTCCCCAGTCATTTAGTGGGGCAATATTTTTAAAGGTCTTACAAGATGGTAGCACTACTGTCAGCTGCCCTGGATAACTGGACATAGAATGATTGTAAGGGATGAAAAGAGTTAGAGAGATTTCCAAACCCTTTCAACAAAGCAAGTCATTTTTCAGCCCTTTGTGAGACACAGAATTTCATGAATATGTGTTGTAGATAAAAGCAGAGTGTACATCCTTCAATTTGATTTGACATCGAGCAAGTGTGTGGGAAACCGTAAACCCTCAGTTACTAACAATGGGATCAGCAGTGCTCTGATTGCCACATGAAAATGTTTCTTGGCAATCGTTGTCAGGTTGTGTTTCACAAAAGGCAGTTACTTTTGGCAGTGGGAGATCCTAGCATGCATGCTGTGGTTCGGCGTCCTTTTTGTAATTGAAATCTTCCTCCTTGTTGAGTCTGATGGCTCGATTGTTTGGTCACAAGGGCTGCGGCGGTCACGGTGTCAGACTGTTATCATTATCAATAGAAATATTAATAGGTATTACAGCTGTTCTTTTTAAAGGTCAACAGTATATTACAGACTTCAAATGTTTAAGTCAGCCAGCATTAAGGCTAATGTGATTACTCCGTTTTTTTGTTTTTTATTCCTCTCATTCTTGCTGTATTCCTCTTGTCTGTGAACCTGACACTTTCCATGTGAGAATGAAGAGGCTTTCTTTCTGAGCAACATGGATATCTGATGACCCTAGAGAGGCAAATGCTAGACCATTACTATGACAACCAGCATGCTTTGGGGATTTCAGCAGCCCTGCTGAATCAAACAGGGCTGTAACTTGAGTAATGAGAGGGGTAATGGAGGTCTTAACAGCCGCCTCCTTTGACATTTCTTTAGTTTCATTATTATCATAATGTATAATTTAATCTGGCACACATGAAATAGAATTAAACCTGCTTATCTACACATTTTGGTTTATATCGTCTCAAAAATAAGTGTCTTAAGTGCATTGCTAGTTCTACGGGAGAACATTAAAATGTCTGTTTCTGAAAGCTAAGATCAATGCTTCGGTACGTCTTCTGCATTTTTCCACTGAGAGCTGTCAGACCTGTTTCGTTTGGATAGAAGATAATGCGAATCAGATTATAGCTGGCACTCTAGCATGGTTTGTTTCTCAGGTGTCAAACATCTGAGCTGTTTTGTTTTGGACCAGAGTGCTCACCAATTATGCAAACTAGAGTTTAATTGAAATGGTGAACTGCAGAACTCTTAACTGTCAGGGAACTAGTGAAAAAAACTTATTATCTCTTATTATGCTGTATCTTCCAAGCAAATGTTGTTTGAAAATTTCTAGTGTGAAAGTTGAGAAAAAAGCCACAACATTTCAGTCTGCTTTCAAACTAACTCTGTATTGAACCTTCCCAAATGAAATAGATATGAAAGCACTCATAGTTCTAGAGAGACCTTTGTTCAAAACTGATCAAAAGAAGTCTTAAGTATATAAGTGGAGTTTTGCAGTTGAAGGTTACTTTTTATTTATTTTCAGAGTTGCTGAAATATAACTACAGTGACTGGTTAAATGGAAGCTCAGCCAAACCCTCTCTGTAGTTTGTAGACTTCCCGAAAATGATGTGAAACAGTTTTTTAAGCATAGATCCAGAGTGTATGTAATCGTTGCCATTTTCCACTCTTTTCAGTCCTGACGGAAGCTATGTGACAGCTGGATCTGCTGATGGGGCAGTCTACATCTGGAATGTGAATTCAGGACACCTGGAGACCTGCTTATCTGATATGCATTGGTAAGGTGTTAATTGGCCTGCTAGCACTTAGTTATATTATAGTTATATTTTCTGTCTGTATGACATTACCTGATAGACATGGACGTGTTTGTTCAGTTATATCGCGCTGTGGAAGTTGCATGAACATCAATTACACATTTTGTCTAATTCAAAAACACAATGAAGAACTTTGCTAATGCTAGTTTACTAATAGCCTGCTTGTAATAATTGTACATAATATGCATTATGTTCTTAGAGAAATTTATACACTTTGAATTCAGCATTTTGAGGGCATCTAGAATGCTATACTCTTAATTTAATTTGTCCAAAGCATGTTGAATGATTAGATGAATATATATATATAACTAAATCTAAGTTTAAACTTAAGAATGTTATTTGGTAGTTTGTATAATTTCAGTACATAATTATTGTGATGGAGAGTATATGTATTTGCGTATTCAGTGTATATTAGATCAGGTTTTAGATTCTTGTCACTGAATCCAAGCTACTTCTGGTGAGGTACGTCAGTCCTTAAAACGTCAGAGAGCTCTGGGTCAGGTCTCCCCTCCTCCACCTCACACTCCCCTATTGCAGTAGGGGAGTGTCTCTTGCAGTAGGCATGTCTCTGGAAGATGGCCAGCTGTGTTTCAATTAAGTTTATTAGAATGCAAAGCAGTCCGTTTGCCTGTGCTGTCAAGACAAGCTGCAGATGTTTGAGTTTATTAACTTATTTATGTTAGAGGAGAATTTATCTGAAGCATTTCGGCAGACCTGTCTTACGACTGAGGTTTTGCTTTAGACAACTTAGAATGCTTTTGCAAGATGTTACAGTAAAAATGAATGCACCATGTAGAGCTTTTGTTATAGGAGCTTCTATGTAGGTGCATATTTCCTGTAATAAACTATAAAGAGTCTTGGAATCCTAGTACCACTGTAGTCTGTGGTAGTCTGAACATCACCGTGTTTGGCCTACATAACTATCCTATTATCCCCCAAGATGCTTGTCAGACTGTAGAAAAAAATGAAACACGATCTAAGGAAAATCAGAGATTTAGAATGTGACAATATAGGATCAAACACATAGCCACACCTTAACAATATACACTGTACACAAAAAACTAACATTGACCAGTGGCATGGCCATATGCACTGTAATAGAAAGGACAACTGTCCAGGTTAGATTAAGAATTAAGAGCAGCGGTTACTTGTGGATATGAGTATTAATCAGGCGTGTTTCTTTTAATATTTATGATGATGTCACTGGTGAGTGAGCTGCGTCAAGCTGATGTGCCTTCATAAGGGCTAAAACAGCTGTGTGTAGCTGTTAACCTCGACTTCATTTGCTCAAAAAGGAATAAGAAGTTGTAAGACCGTTCCCCGTCCAGCTGCGTGCATTGTGATGGAACAGAAAGCTAATTAGCCTGGCTTTTCCCATCTGTGAGAGACTAGTGCGCCAAGTAGACTCTCTGTACTATAAAGCTGATAAAAAAGACGCTCTCATCATCTGCAGTGGCTGACCTGTGTTGTATTCATGTGGCTTGTAATTTTGATCACTGAAATGAATCCATCTGCGTGTTTCTGCCCATTTTGCAGCTCCTCGATCAACGCTGTGTCCTGGTCTCTGTCAGGGGAGTTTGTTGTGAGTGTGGACAAGAGCAGGCGCGCGGTCCTCTGGAGTGACATATGACCAGCCGGGCTCCTGTCCCGGGCGGCGGGACTCGGGGTTTGAGAGGGAGAGCGCAGAGCACAAAAGCCCATGGAGAAGCTGGGGGCCTCGTTGTCATGGTAACGCAAATACCACCAGATCAGGCCACGGCGTTTACAAACACCAGGGAAAAAGCTGCTCCACCGCAAACTGGCAGAAACTGTGGAGTCTGACCTTCGTCTCCGGCTCAGTGTGGAGTGTTTGTTTCTGTTAAATGCCTGGTGTTTTTGGACATGGTGCTTTCCATTTCTGTGCCAGTTATTTCCTGTTTTCTATGATCAGTAAGATAAGATCACTTTATTGGCCATATTCAATTTCTTGCATTACGATTTTTTTTTAACCACATACCCCAACTTGCTCTCCATGAGACACACAGACAAGGAGACAGGCAGAGAAGGTTGGGGTCAGAGCACAGGGTCAGCCATTGTACAGCACCCCTGGAGCAGCTGGGGTTAAGGGCCTTGCTCGGGGGCCAAACGGAGTAGGATTCCTCTGCCGGCCGTGGGATTCGAACCAGCAACCTTCCAGCCACAGGTGCAGATCCTGAGCCACAGAGCCACCGCTCCGCTGGCACAGCCTGATGACTGTCTAAGGTCTTATGTTTGAAAGCACTGGAAATTGAAAGAAGTGCTTATATTAAGGCTGAGTAAAACATTAATGAGAATCGGCAATGCGTGTGACACACCACTAGGTGTGTGGTTTGCAGGACAGAGCTGCCCTCCCATATAAACAACATGCTGCAGAAGGCATAAATGGTCATTTCTGAGCTGGTGTGCTGTTACACATCTTGGATGCCGTGGATGATTAGCAAGAAACTCAGACTGATGTTTTTTCATTTACAATTATTAGTCATTTGCTTATCCCTTCCCAGAAATATTCTGTGAAATGTTTTGTTATTTAAGATTCAATATCCCATTTTGTTCTACAAAGGCTTACGGTGTATAATACATACAGGGTAAAAAACCCTCATGCTTAGTGTTTTGAAGGCTGTGAAGAGAAGGAGAGAAGGATGTCTGTGATTATCTTCAAAGCCTCCAGCTGTAAAGGAACATTATCCCTCTTATCTATAGAGTTAGTTCTTTGGAGTTGTCCTGACTCAGACCTGCATTAATCCAAAATGTTTGCAAAAGCTTTCAAACCATTGCTTCTTGTCATTAGTTTTTTCTCATGGGATTTTTGGACTGATAATTGTTTTGTTTTTATGAAATGCCTGGGAATTACACTAATACAGTGTAAGCAGTAATGCAAAATAACCCCAAAGCAATTAAGGATTTACAAGAATAGCTGTGTCTAACAGGAAGACAATAATGGTGTAATTAGTTGTCTACCTTTCACACACCATGTGACAGTGTAATTGGTGAAAGCCTTGCTGTCAGAATGGCCTTGTTCTTTGTAAACGCGGCTATCATAGTCTCACCCCACTGACACAATGTGTCACATAATGCAAAGGAAGAGTGTTAAAGAAACATCATTCACCAGGTGTCCCAGTGATGGAGAAGAACTGGCTTGGGCCCTTTGTCTGGGTGCTGTGGATCCACCACGTGGAGGGATGGTACAGTAGTTCATATCCAGGGTCACATGCGACACTAGTTTTTGAGAGCTCCTCTGCTGTCCCAGAACTCTCTGCATTCAGCATTATCTGCAGGCTGCACTGTGCTGAACGCATTTTGTTTGCAACCTTTCCAATTTGTTCCAATGCAGTACAGTGGTACAACTAATGCATTGAAGTAGTTCAGGTGGGAAGCTTTATCAGCATGCGTAGGCTGCAAAGAAAAACACAACATTTTGGCCATGGAGCCTTCTTCAGGTGTGAGCAACTGAAGAAGGGTCCACGGCTGAAACTGTGTTTTCTTTCTTCTCATTTCAGCATGGAATAAACCTATTACTTGTTCATTTGCAACTAATACAGTTCTGCATTTCTTTTATTCATCATGGTTATCATCAAATAAATAAGGAGCTGGTTGTTACAAACATGCACTTAATTTCCAGCTTTGTTAGAAGGGCATTTCCAGTCACCTCCATGTCTTATGTACATATTTTGTATTAAAAGGAAATAAGCTGGAAGGATACCGAGTTAAATAATTTATGAGATAAAACTTCATTTCCAATTCATGTGTTAACTGCACATAACGCGATCACTATGAATTCATTTGCATTCATAGCTCTCTGATGTGAAGTCAGTCTTGATAACATTTGCACATCAAAAGGGCCTGTTTGCAGAATAACTTAAAGAAAGTCTTTCTCTCCCTTAAGATCTGAAGGAAAATATCACATAGCCACTTTAGATGAAAACAGACGCATACAGTATGTAGCAGTGATATTTCCATGTAGTTGACTTTTAAGTATGCCACTGTTTTGATTTTCATGGTATTCTAAAAAAAGCTGTTTGGGCCTTTAGATTGTGGCAAACTGGTCTTTGTGGTGTGTCAGAGTCTAATTAATCAATGCTATTCAGCATTTCAATCACAAGACATACATTTAATACTTTCATTACTAATACTTCCAAAAACCTAATCTTTTGTTCCTTGATCCTGTGTACGCCAATTGCAGTAACAATAACAGGGAGACCCTTCAGGGGGAAATGTTTTTTCAAGGCACTTACTGTGCTAAAGAAAGGGAAAAGTGTCACTTTGACCACTTCAGGTGTTGCACACAGGGATACTGGTACCAAACAAGCAAACTTAAGTTAAAGCAGAATAGAACTCAAGGCCCTCTTGTCTATATTGTCCCTCTCTTTGCCCATACAGATTTCTAATCTGTTTATTCTGTCAGAGCAAGTGCAGGAAACAGGCAGTGCCTTTGCAGACAGATACTCACCTGTGGGGATGTATTGTATTGTTAAAAAAACACTTTGGCCTTCTCATGTGTCTGTTACCCTATTGAGGTTTGAATGTGAAACCATTGACCAGGTTGAATATTTTCGCCTCATGTAGCTTAAGACTGCTTTCAGATCTTTCTGCAACTCTTCTTCCAGCAACTGAGGATCATGACTTAATACCAGTGCTGTTTCATTTGTGCTCATCTGTAGTCTCCACATTGTAGCAGTTTCACTGCAGGACAGTATCTGCTAGCTCTGCTGTGCTTTAGTCTGTAGCTGTTTAAAGTTGGCCCTGTAGACTCCTACCAATTGTTTTCTCACTTGTTTTAAGATAGATGGATAGAAATGGCTTTTGCCTGGACAGGTTAAATGAATGATTGGGTCAGCTGTGTAGCATAGGGCTCAGGTGTTATGAACCTGCAAGACCTTGTTGCATTCTTGCACTAGGACTGGATTGTTGTGTTTCAGTGTTGGGGTGCTGCTAATGCCTGCAGAATGCCCCCGCACCAGACAGTCCTGTGGGTTAAAGATGTGGAGGTAAGAAAATGCAGCCGTGCTGAAACCAGTGTTGGAACTGGAACATTAACACGGCGGACCAATATGGTGATCCACAGCTGTTAGCTGCATGAATGTATGCCCCATGCTTCATTCACAAAACAAAGAACATGCACTGATTATAATGTAGATAGTTGAAGGAAAAGAGAGTTTAGCGAAGTGGACATGCATTGCGGTGCTGTTCTTGTTTTGAAAAGGAGCAGTTGTTTACTTCAAGAAAGCCTTTCTTTCTCAGGACCACAATGGTTATTTCTTCAGTCTACCTCCACTGGGGTGATTGTGGCGTATAAGGGAGCCTCCCTGCTGTTTTCCTTTTGCTTTTGCTGTCTTTTCCTTATTTCAGATTGCGTTTTGTTTGCTTTTTGTTTAAAATGCTGTGTAAGCAGCTGTTAGAAGTTTTAAGAAATGCTCAAAGCAATTAAGCCAGGTTGACTCGATATTCAAGTACTTTCCTCCTGCCTTAATTGCTCTGTCCGTTGGCGCAGGATGCTAGCTTGAGTAACATATCACAAAATCTAGATAATGAAACTGTAAAATGGAAAAGGCATTTAGGCATTCTAAAATCTTGGAACCTATTATAAATGTGTTGTAGATCAAGCTTATCATTAGATCATTCCCTCTGATGCCGTTGCTGGTTTTGAGTGTGACTGACAAATGCATGGCTACATTTGTCACTTGTTTGACGTGATCAGTAATTTTTAATGATCAGCCTAATGGACAATAATCAAGGCATTGTGATTGATCTAGAAGCTCTGCTGTTTAATATTTGATCTGTAATCTTAGCTCTGCAGGGAGCTTCCTAATGGAGTGACAGCTCATCCTGTGCATGCTGTGTACTGTATGTACAGTGTGGAAGTGAGAGATTTTTCTCCACAACCTTGCAGTGTTAACATTATATCTTTTTACATACTCTTGTGAATAATATTGCATGGTTTTAAAATGTTTACTTATTAAGCACCTTGCCTGGAAATTACTACTATAATTTCTGGTATATTTATTTTTCTTGTATTTTAAGGTTTCAATTGTTATGCATGTCCTCTAACAATACGGAAAATGTGTGTTTTTTAATTTAATGAAACTTTTTTCTTGTATTGCATTACTGAAAGTATTTCAGGAAAGACTTGTTGTATTGGCTAGCAAACCTTTGCAGTTCATAACAGAGGGACATTTTGCCGGAATCAGATTGTGGCAAACCGGGTACATTTGCTTCAGATTGTGTAAAACAGTGAGTTTTCCGAACTGGTAAGTGTATTAGAGATTTTTTTAAACAATTTGGATTTGTGCTAGAGTATTAATATTACTTTCAAGGTAAGAATTAGAAAATGTTCTGAATTATCCTTTCACATGTTGACATAACACAACATTTTTTTTTCTAAAGAAAAGAAAGACCCAAAATAAATGAAAATGTATTAAGGGATCAGACATTTACTGAACAACTCTTTTCACTCTTTCTGTGAGTGATAATAAAATCTTTAGGATGACCATGTGGCCCAGAGGATAAATTAACTATTTTTTTTCTATTATTTAAGCCAAATTTATTAAGTTTGTACTTATTATTTTTACTGCTCTTTTGAAAGCTTAGGTTTTCCAACATGTTGGTAAACATTTTTCCTCTGCTTTTGATAGATTTTATTATTAGATGTGTCTTCCATTCAGAAGTGCCATTATTACAGAAATCAACACTATTTGAAATATTTGAGCACTATGAAAAAGATATTGCTCTGCTAAAGTACCACATCGGTTGAATAGACCCACACTTAGACACAGAATGCTTCATTTGACGAGTTCCCTGGGCAGCCATAAACCTCTGGTAATATTGCACATGATTCTGGGCTGTGATCCAGGGCTCTCCACCCATGCTGCCTGGAGAAACGGCAGAGTTTGCCATCTCAGCACATTTTTACCTTTAAGGAAATTTATCAATCCCTGAGAAGAGGTGGG